CTGTCAAATGACTGCATGACACCCTAGAAATGCATCTGTGTCCTACTGAGGCCAGCTCAGCTGTCATGCTGGCAAGGCTGCCTCTGCTCAGAGCTGGAGCTGGGTCCCAGGATCTTCTGGCACCCCCGAGTTCACAGCACACTTTCCCAGGGGCTTGAATGTTGGTACCTCACTGTGTTTCCATTCCACAGTCAGGAAACTGAAGCTCCATTGATTAGCTGAAAGCACAAGACAGTGAAAGCCCAGCTAGGACTTAGGCCTCAGGCCTGCATCCAGGCATCACTGGATCCACCTCAGTAGCCCTAACCCACCTTCCTGCAGTTCTGTTGTGGCTCTTTCCTCCTGCGAGAAAATGATCATTGCCATTTTGAATAGAAAGGAGCTATAGTCACTTGCATAAGATCTTCACAAGACTGAGCATGTTAGCATTCCGTCAGGGAGAATGGGAGGGCTCACTAGGCCTATAAGGCCCCTGTGGATCCTCAAGGATATTTAGACAGTTAACTTTTGGGAGAAGGGGACTGTTCATTTGTCAGCATGCTCCTAAGTAACTCCAATACGCTTATTAATTCACACACTGGATTTGGGTAGAATCATTTCTTCTGTCCATGATTTCTCTTTCTTTCTGAGTAGAATAGAAATACATCACCCAGGAATAGTCACACAGCATTTGCCACAAAAACAGGAACACAGCAGAACCATCTGTGAATTAGCATGGGGAGATAATTGCCCACCCTTCGGACAAGCTTTATCTTTCTCATGTGTCACAGAGGTGGGCAACTCTTGGGCAACCCAAGAGTATACTGTGTACATTTCTCCTCTGCAAGAAATTATACTGGGGTAGGTGTTTGCTGGGACTCACCCTGCAAACTATGGCTGGAGTTTCAGCTGAGGGTGTGAACCGTGAAGAAGTCCTGCTTGGTTGGGTGAAATGGAAGCTTATCGAGTTGCCCAGTCCCTGTGGGGTAGTCAACACCGAATAGTTTAGTCAGCCTGGCGGATATGACAAATTACAGAGACCTTCTAGGAATTAGAAAGGTGGAGATTATTTTCCCAGGCTAAAAGCCCTTTCTGCAGATGGGTGTGGCTGGTAACAAAAACACAAATGGGTCATAGAGAACGGCCGGATTCATGAGAGCTAAATAAAGTAGATATTGCTTTTTTATTTTAATGAAACAATTGATATGTAGTGAGGTCTTTCCCTTCTGCCTTGGACCTTAGTAGTGCTTTCTTTAGTATTCTGTTAGCTGCTGAGTTCCATGACCAATTCCCACTCACCTGCCACAGGCAATGATTCACTTTAGAGTCCTCCAAGGTTCCTGTCCCAGTCCCATTATTTGTCATGGGATGATAGCCCAAGACTTTTTTTTTGTTATCATGTGACCAACAAAAAACAAACAAACAAACAAAAAGCCCTCTTTACTGAATAGAGGCTATAGTGCTGATTTCTGGGTATCTCACAGCTTCAGGAAGCCATCTGGAAGATGTACAAATGTACTTGAAGGAATGAAGAGAGAAGCGAGTCCATACATGGTGCAAGAGCCAGGCACAGCTATGTGATCTGGGCAAGTTTCACAGGTGAGTATGACCTGTGGACACCTGATGAGGAAATCAGTGAAATTCTACAACCGACTAAAACAAAGCAAACACCAGGAAGGGCTCTCCCCTGCACTTCCTGGTGACGCAGGTCACTTAAGCAGATAGAAATGGGTGACTGCAGCAATACAAGTGAACGCGGATACTATGCAGCTGGAGCAAGGAGATGAGTCAGAGCAGTATGGTGGCAGCAACTGGACTGACAGTTGAACTCTAATTAGAGACTTGATTTTATGGATAGTCCCATGAGAAAGAAGAACTGGCAAGTGCTGGGTCAGCCATAGGGGAGCCAAGACAGGCTGGAAATAGCTTCAACTGTCCCATTCCCGTGGGATATTGTGATATTTTGAATGCTATTCAAACATGTGAGGCTTGACATGACAGATGGATGCTATGATTGGGCAAGTACATATATCTACCTGTCCTGCTGTGATTGCCAGGTAGACTCTATGACACTTGTGCCTGTCAATAATGGATGCGAATAAGTCCTCATCCGTGTGGACACTGGCAAAGGCTTCTTGTAAGCATTCTCGTGCAAGCAAGCAACATGGAAGGCTACCATTAGGGGCCTCAGCCAAGTCAGTGTTATATATGGGTGTTCTTGGAGAATTGACTGTGGTGGGGGCACATACGTCACAAACACTGATATGCAGAACCGGGCTTGGTACAACCAACTCCAGGGGCTCTTAAGCTATCTGAAAACTCTGTAGGATCTGGGTTAATTGAAAGGAAGAATGAGCTGCTGAAACAGCTATTCCAGAGTTTTAGTGAAGGCACTTGGCATTAGTGGGAAAAGATCCTCTCAGAAGCCACAAGGTTACCGAGTGAAAATCCTGGTAATCCACCTCTTACGACTTGTTAGTCATGGAGGTCCCTGAGACTCTTCATATAATATAGACTATTGCCACTGATGTTGGTTACATGCCAGAACTGGATGGTGAATCCATATGCCTGAGGATACTGCATGCTTGAGTTGTAGGACATGTAGAAACTGGGCTGTAGCTGATCTTGAGGCAGCCTCTGTACTTGCTGCTGTACACGGTGCTGGAGGGTGCTATGCAGGCTGCTGGGGAAGAACTGGTATCAGTGGTCCTTCCTGGTTATGGACACCCCCGTCTCCCCCGAAATCCCCAGTTATGTTCTCAGGACGCTAGACAAGAAGTGTCTGCTGGTGCACCAGTGGCATGATTGCTGTGAATGTAACCAAATGCTTTCCAATTGGATGTAAGGCGGACTCCACAGCAGGAAACTCAAGTTTGGTGCTGCAAATGAGGACAAAAGCCTAGGGCTGGGCATGTCGAATTGGCTTTGTGAAGAAGCCCCTACTGTTGTCTTATTAAATGATAAGATGTCCCTATCAATTTGTCTTCTACATATTTCAGTTTATACCCATCGATTACTGTTGCTGTTAGCTTTGGTCAGGGACGTTTCTTTTTTTTTTTTTCTTTTTTCTTTTAGTGGGCAGTGGTTACTGAGGAGACTCTTAGTCAGTGAAACAACTGAGAATAAATGATTATTACCATGTCGTGGCAGCCCAATGCTCAGTTCTAAATAGGAGAAAAGAGTCATACCTTTGTATCATCCCCTCCAAGGCTCAGGGAACATTGTGAAAGAGGAGATAGAATTTAAGAGCTAGTTGAAGGGGTAGAGTGCTGCACAGCTGCTTTCTCCGGGTTGAATATGATCGTTGCCATCGTGAATCAGAACAACGGTGGCCACTCACACAAGACACTCGCAAGAGTGAATTCTGTAATATTCCCCTGTGAAAGGAGGGAAAGACTCACCAGACCTCCCCAAGGATATATAAGTCCTTACCGGTTTCTGCTTCTGTAAGTAACCCTTTACACTGCAGATAACCCCCAGCTAACTCATGAATTCACCAAATGGACTGTGATGGGTGTCATTTGTCTGGGCTTCTGTTGCTCTTTTATCTGGGGTGAATAGAAATAGATTCCCAAGAAAAAGTGACATACCATGTGGGAGGTGCTTTGCTCTCTGAAGGTTCATTCTGAAGTGTCACCAGTGTGTAGACAGATGTGTGTGGGTGCATTGCTCATGGACATACAGAGGGAAGCGGGTGACTCAGTGTGTGGTGAAACCAGAACTTTGGCCTATGGAGTAGGAGCCTCTGGGCTGAGATAATGCAGCTTCATTTGAGATTGGAAGGTAGGCACTGAGAGATCTGCTGCTTTGTCCCACTTAGGACCAGGGCTCTTTGCCATAGCCCTCCCATCAGCCCATCTGCAGAGAATAGCGTTGAGTGTTCCCAACCCTCTTAGAGCAGTCCTGGGCATGTCTCTAGCTTCACAGTATCCCAACACAGCCCTGGAATGGGCCTGCTCATGGCCCCATCCCTCTCCCAGAAGTTGAAGATGATAATGTTTGTTCCTTCCTTGGAGTCCGGGCCTGTCTGACCCTAGGACTTAATATGGCCTGTTTCTTCCCTTGTCACTCTGCTGGCCATGGCTAAAGACAAAACCATATAACTGAGCTACCCATTCAGACAATCAGAACCCAGCCCTCACTGCCAGTTAAGGTGGAGGCCAAAGGCCAGAAAGAAAGGGTGGGTGCCCTTCTTGTGCTCAGAAGGAAGTCACCCTGTAGCTAAACATGAAGCAGTCCTGCAGCCTACACCACCTTACCCCACTAACAAATAAGGACCAGTATATGTACCCACCAATCACCAGCCTGAGAAAGAGAAGCCATGCCCACCTCATGCATCTGGGAAGCTCTTAGAAAGAACCACTAGCAAAAGCTTCAGGGCATTGACTCTTAAGCAACTGCCCTTATCAAGTGCAGGTGTGAAGCCAAGCACCTCCTCTAAAGAACAAAGAGACCTCATGCACAGAAGGACAAGCCCCCATTGGAGACATGAGAAAAACTGAGAGCTTGGGTAAGACTTGCAGATGCATCTGGATCTCCCCAAAGTCAGAGCCACGTTTCCTACTGGACTTGTAAGGGGCACAGAGTTGTGATGAGTGGTAGAGGTTTTAGGTAGGAATTTGTGGCTACAACAAGAAGTGAGAATGGACATTCCTTCTAAGTGTTGGTGTCTGTGGCTCTGTGAAGCACCTTCCTGCTCTCAAACACGAAAGTGGGGGCCATGAGACAGCTCAGCTGGTAAAGGCACCAAGTCTGACAACCTGAATTTGATCCCTGGAATCCATGCGATTGAAGGAGAAAATCAACTTCCCCAAGCTGTCCTCTGACCACATGAGTATTGTTGGCAAGCTTGTGTATGCACACAAACACACAGTAAATAAATAAATGTAATTTTTAAGTGACTATTTACTTCAACACAGTCAGTTAGTCTATTTCAATGACTCAGTAGCATACAAACTGTTTTCAGCCATAATGCAATTAGTTTGAAGTAAAAACAAGATTTTACAGATAACTCATGAAAATAACCTTTACAAATCATCATTTATTTGGAAAAATAAAACAGACAGTTCTAAATGGCACACAAATTAAGGAATGATGCAAAATAAACATTAGAAATCCTTAAAACTGGTAAACTGGGTGTTGTGGCTTACACTTGAAATCCTAGCACTCAAGAGGGTGAAGCAGGAGGATTACCATGAATTTGAAACCATCGTGGGACACATAGTGAGATCTTGTCTCAACCAATAAGCAAACAAACTAACTAACTAACAACAAGACACATCAAATGAGCTGAAATTCAATTGCCATTACAGTCTGAAGTGTTGAGAGGTGAGTTTAACGGTGATCAAGGGAACTGGAGCCGTGGTTCGGTGGTTAAGAGTATTTGTTTTTGCAGAGGAGCTGACTTTGGTTTTCAGCACACACATGGTGGCTCACAGGCATCTGTAACTCCAGTTCCAGGGGATCTGATATCCTCTTCTAATTTCTTTGGACAACAGGCATGCATGTAGTGCACATACATATATGCAGGCAAAACACTCATATATAAAAATAAAATGAATAAATCTTAAAAAGTAATAATAACAATAAACCCCAATGACCAAGAATGAGGGCCCTGCTTTCAAGAGTAATTAATGAGGGACCAGGTTTGTTTCCCTGGAGTGGGGTCCTGATAGGAGGATGGGTCCAACCCTCTCTGTGTATCTTGTCCCTCCACCACATCAGGACACATCTGGAGGCTCTTGCCAGATGCCAGCACCATTCTTCTGAACTTTCCAGGCTCAAGACTGAGGAATATTTTTTACCTTTATAAATTACCCAGCCTGAGGTATTCTGTTATCATTACATAGACTAAAGTAATGGTACCTGGAAACTGTAGCCTTAAGAGAAGGAAAGAATGAAAATCAATGAGCTAAATATCCAACCTCAATGAGAGGAAGAAGAGGAGGCTAAGGGCAATGTCACTGGGAGAAAAAAGATAAAGGCATGAGCTAAAATTAGTCATCAAATAAGGCCCAATCCAGAAGCCCCAGGAAAGAGAGTTGACTGAAGTGTCGTCCACAGCGCTCATGAGAGGGAAGGCCGTGACTGCTAGGACGAAAATGAGGAAGTCAGCTGATGTGTACAGCAGTTTTAAAGGATAAAAAGACCACAAACCAGTCAATTTGAAGTCTCCTTCAAAATGAACGAGATGTTCAAGTATGGAAAGCAAATCACTTCCTAGAAAATAATGACTTAAATATTGATTCAAGAGGAGAGGGTTGACCTGAGAGTTCTATAGCCATTATTATCTCCGCATAAGAAAACCCAGCTGACAATTGCAGAACACCGCTAAGTGCCAAGGTCGAGAAGCATCAGGTGCAAGGGCTTTGCCTCCCTCTGCTCACCAAAAAGCAGGGCCCAGGTTTACAGATCAAAGGGACCTGCCACCACCCCTGTCCCTGGGAGGTGAAAGCTGACAACATACTCCCTGAAGCCTCCAGGGAGACCTGGAGGGGTTCGTGCTGACTGGCTTTAACATGGCTGAGAGAACATCCATTTTTATCCGTTGCTAGGCACTTGTCTTGCCCGACAGCACCCACTCTAGAGACCCTGAGTGTTCCTTGCCTTGTCACCTCTCCCAGGCTCGCAGATCTTTACTGAGGAAGCTACACAAGCTGCAATACAAGGCCCATCCTGAAAGCTGTGTATTTCCTAGTGTGTCTGTGTGCTCACGAAACACACACGTCACTAAGCTTCTGTGCACTTTTCTCTGGTTCAGCTGTCTTTTGTCACAGGGTCCCTTCCAGCTAGGAACCTGTAGGAGGTGTTATTTGTCTCACACAGGTTGCAGAGACGTGTTATACCAAGTTTGCAAGGAACAAAATATTCCAGTTTGAAACAGACACTTCCTGAGAGAAAAGCGAAAAAACTCCCCCAAACTACCCTGAGGCCACAACATTTAAAAGAAACTGAGTGAAGGCAGGACCAGAAAGGACAGTCTACTCTAGTTCCATGTTTATTATTAACACACTTGGTCCACAGTGGATAGTTTTCAATGTGATAATGTTCATGTCCAAAGTGGGGGATTATGAGAAAAGGAAGAGGCAAAGGCTGGGAACTGTCTGCCCTTCCTGTGTCCAAACTCTGAGACCTCTCTGTAACCGCACATTCCCCCATAGGAGACCCTGGCTAGGGAGGCTACTTCTGCACCCCTCCTCTGAGTGAGGTAGAGTCTGCCTTGCTGGGCCTAGTGATGCACCCATCAAGTAGAAAGCCAATGGCCTCACTGGCATTGACTGGGTCCTGTGTTCTCCAGCATGCCAGAGATGACATCTTGGCCTCCCTCCCTTGCTCCCGAGAGCAGCAGCCAGTGCATTTGAAAGCTGGGCTGTCAGTGTGGGAATGCTGAGCTTGCTCAAGAAATAGCTAAATTAATTTCCAGGACCTCAGAGTGGGCTCTGGATAGCGCTGATTTCATGATGATCATGGAATCAGATCAAGGAGCCCATTTAGTGTAAGGAGAGCTCCAATTTTACCAGACAGAATTGGATCTGAAGCCTAGAGTCCTGGCTGCTGAGGTTACAGCTGAGTGAACTGGTGGGCCCGCTGTTCCCAGCCTGCCTGGCAGGTAACACAGACCCAGTTCTGGCCGAGACGTACTCCCTTCTGAAGGAAAATACATGCTGTTCTGGACAGTGCATCCCTCACCCTACTCACGGGCTTCCGCAGACACCCACACTGCTGACACAGATGTCTGTCCCCAGAAAGACCCACCTGGGTACTTGGAGGAGGCTCCTGAGGTATCCTTCCAATCTTGAGTGAAGATCCTGAATGCGGTCCTTCCTGAGCAAAAGGGAGAGAAAGCCAGCGGGAGTCAGTTCACTCACCCTCATCTAGGGATTGTCCCCTCCCGGCTTCCGTGGGGTCCTGTTGGTGTTCCTATGCAGTCAGGCCTCTGTGGAGTGGAAGCTGTGGCCAGTCACCCAGAGGGTCACTTACCCTGGAAGAAACAAAGCCCAGGATACACCTCTGGGGCTACAGGAGGGACCGGGAGCTGAGTGGTAAGTTAGGTGGCAAGCATCTGTTTGTATGAACCATCTTACCTCTGGTATGCCATGGCCCATCTTACAAGGTTTCCCAGAAGGCAGGCAAGGGTGGCACAGTGGGTGCTGAAGGGGTTTCCATGCACAATGGCATTGTCTAGCCTCAAAGACTACAGGCATGACAGCCGAGCATAACTCTGCTGAAGGTGTCTAGCAATCGCCACCTCCAAGAGGGGCAAGCACACTGGTGTCTGTATCCAGGAGTCTGTGAGGAGGAAATGGGCCATGGAAGGGTCTATCTCCAGTGCAGAATGCCAAGTTGTTTACATAGCTCCCTCCTTGGTGAGGCAGAGACAATGCTGCACTTCATATACGGTTCCCTTGATCTTGACTTTGAGAAGTGGCCCTGTCAGTGAGCTCCTGGCCCATACCAACATTCTGCCAGAACCCATGGGGGCTCATGGAACTGCTGACAGGAGCTTTGGGTCCTGTTGCTGTCGCTTCTGGCTGGGATCCCATAGGAGTGTGGAAAGAGGGCAAGCTGCTGGCAGCCCTGAGTCCCTATCTTTCCTCCTGCCACCTCAGGACACCCTGGAGATTCATCTTGGGATGTTCGTAAGTCCCAGCCTTTTACACAGGACCCTATCCACAGCAGGGACTCTAGTATGAGGTAACCCAATGTAACCAGGAACACAGACAGGGTGGCTAGGACTACCGACCCCCCTTCTCCTACCCTCAAGTGTGCTGGCACCTGTTAATGACCTCATTTCCCCTACCCTCAGGTGTGCTGGCACCTGCTAATGACTCCATTTCCCCTACCCTCAAGTGTGCTGGCAGCTGCTAGTGACTTTCTTCCTCTACCCTCAAGTGTGCTGGCACCTGCTAGTGACTTTCTTCCTCTACCCTCAGGTGTGCTGGCAGCTGCTAGTATTCCGGGAAGTTCCAGGAGCTCCAGGAGGGTAAGGACTGTCTGCACACCTGAGATTCCTGAGAGATCCAGGCAAGCTGTGCCCTGAACACCATCCCTGCATACCTGGCCCATGGTAGATCTAGCCAGCTCATCAAAAGCCCCTAGTGCAGGCCAGCTGGCCCTGCCTTTCTAGCCTGGCCTGGAAGGCAATGACCAAGTCACTGTGAGCAGGTGCCTCGGCAGGGATCTGCAGTTAGTAATCTCTGTTTACTCCTTGAAATGCTGTTGGCATCACTGTGAGCTTTTGCATCAGATGTGCAGGGTTGTCAGGTTGTGTCCAGAGTTAGTTCCTATTGGAGGGAGGCACCCTTAGACACTGGGCCTCAGGGTCCCCACCTAGCACATCCAGGTACCTCTCTGTGGGCTTTCAGAGCCGTCCTGCCTTGAGATTTTGGACCTTCCTTCTGAAAAGGACTTATTCCCAGTCTAAACCCAGCTCTATATACAGGCCCCAGACACTGTTCGTAGAGGCAGCCAGATGGGACACATACACCCTCCTGCCTTAGAGGGACTTCCTTTTGTGTGCTACCAAGTTTTGAAATAATAAGACTTCTGCTTCAAAAGTAATGCCACCTCATGGCTGGAAATAAACCAGGTGTGATGGCACACCTTTAATCCCAGTACTGGGAGGCAGAGGCAGATAGAGCTCTGTGAGTTCAAGGACAGCCTGATCTACATAGCAAGCTCCAGATCAGCCAAGGCTACATAGTGAGACCCTGTCTCAAAATACAAATAAATAAATAAGCTGGAAATAACTAAGTAGAAGGAAGGACAGACTACCTGGTGATGGCTGTCCATTGGGCAGAGCCCTCTTCTAGGGTTCTATGTTCAACTGCCCTTCTAGCCAGAGGCCAAAGCATCTAGGGATAGCATTTACAGATTACACTTGTTTTCCTTGTTAAAAAACAAGTAAAGATAAAGTGATCTTGGGAATTGATTACAAAACAACCCTGTTTGTGTATTACGTGTAAGGCCTACATTCAAAGAGATTCAGAACATATGAGAAATATACACCAGAGAAACACACTGAGGAAGCAGGTGTGTGTCTTAGGTTTTTTTTTTTTTATTGCTGTGATAAGATATTATGACTAAAGCAACTTACAGAAGAAAGAGTTTATTAGGAGCTTACAGTTTCAGAGAGTGAGAGTCCATGACCATCATGGCAGGAAGCATGGCAGCAGACAGACAGGCATGGTTCTGAAGCAGTAGCTGAGAGCTTGCATCTTGAGACACAGGAGAAAGCTAGCTGCGAATGAATGGTGTGGGTTTTTAAAACCTTAAAGCTCGTCGGGCGGTGGTGGCGCACGCCTTTAATCCCAGCACTCAGGAGGCAGAGGCAGGCGGATCTCTGTGAGTTCGAGGCCAGCCTGGTCTCCAAAGCGAGTACCAGGAAAGGCGCAAAGCTACACAGAGAAACCCTGTCTCGAAAAACAAAAAAAAAAAAAAAAAAAAAAAACCTTAAAGCTCATCCCAGGAACACACCTCCTCCAAGGCAGCCTGAATATGAAAGTATTTGACCTCAGGGGGAGGCACTGGACAAGCCTATTCCTGGGGTATGGATTAGAAGCCAAGGCTTGCCTGCCTAAGAATGGGGAGAGTGGCAGAAGATGGCCTAGGTGTTTGAAGGTAGAGAGAGAAGAAGAAGGCCATATTAAGGTCACTCCTCAAATCTCACTTCCCCAGAAATGCCAGCTGACCCTTTGCCCCCAGATTATGATGTCCTGCTACAAGTCCATCCAGCATTATCTTTTCCTAACTGGCATGGAACCCTGCTTTTAAGCCATCTTCATGCTTGTGTAATTGCCCCCTGGTTCCTGAGTCCCCTGAGAGCAGGGACATACCTATCCTGTTCTCAGCGTCTCTCCACAGTATAATGGCCCTCCTTATTTGCTGAGTGACCCTTGCAGGAGCAGGATTGGGGTGTGAGGCTCAGTGCCATTTCTCAGTCCCAGCAGGTCGAATCTTAAAGTCTTGTTTGCTTGTTTTGTTTTACAGAGTTTCTCTATGTTAACAGCCCTGGCTGTCCTGGAACTTGCTCTGTAGACCAGGCTGGCCTCAAACTCAGAGATCTGCCTGCCTCTGCCTCCTAGTGCTGGGATTCAAGGTGTGCACCACCAGCCGCCCAGCCTAAGCCCAGGGTCTTATTAAATTGGAGGACAAGAGGATGGCTATGGAGGCCGGTGGTTCTTTTAGAGCCAGGACCATAGCTAGAACCTGTGCTGGGCCACGTGGTTGTTCAGAAGAAAGGAACTAGGAACCAGTCGCTGACAATTGTCCTAGAACTTGAAAATCCTGAAAACACTTGGGGGTAGTTATACAGCGAGGAGGGGGTCAGCAGGTACATGAGCATCCTCAAGCCAAAAGCTTCCCCAGTCCCTGAAATGAGAGCCAGGTGATAAATAGTGCCGGCTGAAAGACCCTTGAGGCACAGAAAATTCAGGAGTCAGAAACACATTTTGTTCTGGAAAGCATGCTGAGAAGTTAACACCTTCTCCTGAAGGTCCAGCAGTGCACAGGCTCTGAGCTAGCCACAAGGGAGGCCTGGGCAGAGGCGAGCATGCCCAGTGGGCACCTGCTTCCCTCTCTTGATCGATAATTGGGTCAGCGCTCACTGTGGCTCTAGCAGCTATTTTTAAACCCTTCTTTATATAAATTCTGAGACGCATTTTGCAGAAAAGAGCTGGCGCATCCGAATGAATTTTCGAGATGAGATGACCACTTCCAGCTGGGGCCAGAGGTCATTTCATTTAAGGGAAATGCTCTGCTTTCAGGAGAGGCAGCCAGACCTAAGTCAAGTACAACCTCCTTTTTTTTTTTTTAAATCTGAGACAGGGTCTCACTATATAGCCCTAGCTGCCCTGGAACTTGCTATAGAAACCAAGCTGGCCTCAAGCTAACAGGAATCTACCTGCCTCTGCCTCCTAAATGCTGGGATTAAAAGTGTGGAGTATCATGCCTGGCTCAAGTGCAACCTCTTAAGAACTTGCTGTAGAGCTTAGGTGAGTGGCTGTGCTCAGGCCGTAAACTCGGCGATACCAATAGGGGTTTGAGACAGATCTGTGCGCCTATGGAGTGAGCTCAAGGCTACCAGACAGGTGGGCAGAGATGCTGCCTCCCACTCTTGACCTCCTATGAGAAGGCTGCCACAAACGTGCCAGCCTAGCTCCCAGGACACACCCTGCCTGATGGTAGGGGCACACCTGACTGGGAGCTCCTATGGTACTAGTTTGTTCTCTCATATGGACTTGCAAGAATTTAAATCCACAGCCCTAGAAGCCAAGTGTGTCCAAGACAGAGTGCCTGGGCGAAGCCTGGACCACTAGCCCTGCTTTGAGGCTGCATCCTGTCCTTACCCATTTCTTCTGGTAATCTGGGCGGAACACTGAACTACCTGCACTTAGCCAATATGGGGAAGAGTAGCCCTGACTAAAGATGCTGGACATGACAATTTTTCTAGGAACCAAGCTTCATTTTCAACACGGTTACTCTTAGTGTGCTTGACAAGCTGCTCTTGTCACCAGTGGAATAACTACAAACATGTGGTTCATGCCAGAGAGAAAGCACCCTGGGGTCACTTTGACAGTAGGAGAGCTCTCTATAACTCATCTTCCACCTCTCTGGAAGTCTGACTGATCCCCCCATTCTATGACTGCCCAATGCCTGAGCCTCAGGACACAGAAGAATGAAGAAGGATGGGACATTCATGTGCCCTGTAATGTGTGGATTCCCCAGCACACACACACACACACACACACACACACACACACACACACACACACACACACCCCAAGCTTGAGACAGGGCAAATAGTCCCAAGTCCTGAGCCTCAAGATGCTGTGGATATCGATCACTCTGTATGCTGTGAATGTGTTGCTCTGATTTGGTTGATAAGTAAAACATTGATTGGCCAGTAGCCAGGCAGGAAGTATAGTATAGATGGGACAAGCAGAGAGGAGACAATTCTGAGAAGAGAAAGGCTGAGTCAGGAGTCACCAGCCAGAGACAGAGGAAGCATGATGTGAAAGTACCAGTAAGCCACAAGCCACGTGGCAACTTATAGATTGATAGAAATGGGTTAATTTAAGAAATAAGAACTGGATAGCATGGAGCCTGCCACAGCCAAACAGTTTATAAGTAATATAAGTCTCTGTGTGTTTACTTGGGTCTGAGTGGCTGCGGGCCCGGGTGGGACTGGAGAAAACTCCAGCTACATCAAGACACAGAAGAATGGAGAGGGAGAGGACTATGATATTTGAGCCCCCCCCAACCCATGTACCAATTGCAGCTGCATGGTTGGCTTTAGTAGGATGGTTGATATCCCCCAACTCCCATGCCTGCCATATACTCACCCAAACTTGTCATTATGTGGGATCCCAGTGTCATTTAAATGGACCCCAAACCACTTGAAAGCTGCTGGGCTCCCACTATCTGCATTCTGGAAGATTCCCTGAACATCCCTTCCCTACTGATGGGAGGCTGATTGATAGGACTGCCTGAGACGGCTGTCAGTGTGCAGAACCAGACTATCAGAATCTGCTGCCTGGGCCCAGTGCAGAGTGAGTGTGGAATGCCTTGTGGTCTTCATGCTTTGGGGGCAAATGGCCCACGGAGGAATGTGATGGGAAACATGAGTACTGGGTGATGAGGCTGTGGGGACTAATAGCAGGCCAAGGCAGCATGCAGCATGCACCTTCCCTGGCTCCTGAAGCACAGCATGCAGAGTGGCAAAGGATATTACATACTTCATCCTGGGGTCAAGTTCTCTCCTGGCCTTCCTGCTGGTCCCTTGGTCTTGTGGTTCTTTCAGTTCTCAGCCTCCTGATTTCCAGACTCAGAGGCCCCTGGGGACACATTTGCTGATCTCACAGAGGGAGAGGGAATGGTTCTTTGAAGCAGTGTCAAGGCAGATGGGGCTTCCTGCCATTAACATGAAAGCCTGTGGTTACATCATGAAGATGCTCTCAGAGCCTATAGTCCAAAAGGATTCATGCTGACTGTGACCCAGTTTCTTCTCCCAGCCTGCCACATGGAGCCTGGATCTAGACTATGTTGAGTCTAATCATCCTGGACTGGCTTGTGTTCACAGTGGACTAGGTCAGGGTCCTCCTTTCCTGAGCCCATCCCATTGTGGGCATGGCATCCTTCTCTGGGCAGGCAGCTCTAGGCTATATAAGAAATCTAGCTAAGTGTGAGCCTGTAAGTCAGCTAGCAAGTAGCATCCTCCATGGTTTCTGCTGTACTTCCTTGGCTGTGAGCAAATTCTCTTAGGTTGCTTTTGGTTGAGTGTTTTATCACAGCAACAAAGAAGAATGCTTTGCATCTCGGACATTTACAATGCTTAAACATCTTGGGCTTGGAAGATGACTCAGCCAGTAAAGACTTGGCTGCACAAGGATGGGGACCTGACTCTGGATCCCCAGCACGTGCATAAAAGTTGGGCTGAGCAACACACTTCTGTAACCCCAGCACTAGGGTAAGGGTGGGAACACAGAGACAGGTGGAGCTCCAGTGCCCATTGGCCAGCTAGCCTACCCAATTTGTGAGCTCGGGTTCAGTGAGGAACCCTATATCAAGAATTAATGTGGAGAATGTTCACCTCTGGCCCTCCACGCATGTATGTAATGTGCATGCACACACATAGACACACATACACACAGATGTTTATACATCTCTCCCCTCAACTCAACTTCCTTCAAATATATCTTTTCTTCTTGCCTGTGTGGACCATACCCCCTTGTGACTGCCAAAATGCCCCAGTTGCATTGAATCTCTTCAACACTATGTGGGGTAGTTGTCAGTTTACTGCCCCTCCCAGAGAAGGAGGCTTAGGATGGAGGGGAGTCAATGGAGATGCTGGGTGGCTCTGGAGGAGAACTGCAGTACCAATGGCTCTTCTAAGGGAACATGATGTCCCCACTGTCAGAGGGGGTGGCAAGTGTCCAAGAAGTCAAGAGAAATGGGTGAAGTACTTATCTCCACCCATGGAGGTGGTTCCTCCCCCACCTGAAGCCAGGAAGCCCAGGTATTAGGATGTCCCATGTCACTGACCTCTGAGCAATACTGTCATTCAAGCTATGTGTTTGGGTTACTGTAGACAGGACACAGGGCTTTGGATATTGAGTTACATTCCTATCCCAAATATGCCTAACAGTTATTAGAACTCAAGGGCTCACTGAAAGCAAACCAGTCGGGCACAGTTAGTGCTTACTGTGTCCAAAGAAAACTCCACATGGGGGAGGAACTGGCACGGACCACGGATGCCATCCCTGTGAAACTTCCAGACCTGGGAACATGAGACACAAAGTAGATTCGTTGCTGCCCAGAGCTGTTCTTGGGGGTGATGTTAAATGTTCTACAAATGGCTGTGGTGGTGTTGGTATTGGTGAATTTCTTCAAACCACCAGACTCCACACCATGGGTGGGTGGGCTGCGTGGGATGTGAATGCTATCTCAACAGAGTTGTTTTTAAGAGGTAACACTGAAGGAAGACTTTTCCCAGACAAGTCCCAACACAGTTGAGAGAAAGCTTTAGACCCCACCAGGATCAGGCTGCCTTCAAGGCTGGAGGGTGACTGCTCTGATGGGGGTACCCAGAGACTACTGATCTGGGGCACGCCCCCTCTTTCCATGCTGTTGAGATTCTGGGTCAGCCTCACCTCTAACAAACCCCCTTGTAATTCTCACCCAGTGTTACCCCCAGGAAGCCATCACCTCTGAGTCTTCATCTCTCCTTCTCACCCCTCTTCCCACAAAACTTGTGGTTCCCAGACACGACATAGAGTAGGGATGACAGACAGATTCTTAGAACTCTCACAAGACAGAGGCCACACCGAGTCTGTGGCAAGGACCTCTGTTAACCCTCAACTGTTAGAAGAAAGAGGCATCAATCAGTAACAACTCTGAGGGGTCCAGATTTCCATCTAGACACATAGCCTGCACCATATTCACTCACGGAAGATTCTTTCTGATGTTCTCTGTCACTTCCTCTCTTGGACTCTGGAGTACTCAGAGTCTTCAAAAGCAGGGTCCCTGGGTCCCTAGGACACCACCATGGGTAGAGATAAGCACTTCACCCATTTCTTTTGCCAGCTATGAGGGGGTTTCCTATGGAGAGGATCCAGCCCCTCTAGCCACTGCCTGGACCACTCAGGGCCTATGGACTCTGTAGCACACCCTTCTAAAGGGGGTCTGGTCCAGATGCAGTTCTAGAAACAGTGTTCAGCTCCTTCTCATGCTGACCATGGCCTTAGCCACCAATGAGTTGCATGCCAGCCTCAGGCCTGCTTCCCTGGCTCCCTTTACAGAGTGACAGGAGAGGCCACAGTCATGCAGGGCTATCAGCTGCATTCTTGGTGGGCTTGGCACTCTGTTTTCCGTAAGGAACTTGGGGCAGCACCTTGAGCTCTCTCACAGCAGTCACTGGGGCTGATGGATCCATCCTGAGCAGAAGCAGACGCGGCTTCTAGTTCCCTCCTTTTCAAAGTTCAGGGAGGATGCGATGCTGATGCAACATTTCTTCTATAGCTCGAGTTTGTTCATCCAAGGGCAGGGTGTCCCCATTGTAATTAGGTGGCTCATATTTAATTTGGCAAAGATATTAAAAATCATCCCGGAGGAGGCCCCTGGAACACAGGGCTGAGGAAGAAAGGCTCCTGTGGAAACCCTAAGAAAGAGGGCATCTAATGAACCTCAGCAACAAGGTATGTGGTGCCCTGAAATCCGGCTTTCAATTGCCTTTTGCGGTGATGGGTCTGTGATGTGCAGAGGCCCATCCCTCTGTTCTCAGAAAGGGCTTCTGAAGGTTATCCGGGCTGTCACAGGCTCTGAAAAGCAACAAGCTTTGAAAGTCAGTAACAGCTCCAAGGTCCACCCAGCATAGCATTCCCTCTCCATCAAGGATTGTCCAAACCTTTTGAGTGTACTTGTGTGACTGTTTACCACTCCTACCAAGCCTCTACTTGAGGACACACTCCTCTCACTGTTGCATTTACCTATAGCACATCATACCTATCCCAGCCCACCTCCCTAATGAAATCTTTACCACCCAGAAGGAAGGAACAGCCCATTAATCAAGGATAATAACAGCTATCCCTTCTGGTGATCTATGTGAGCCCCTAAGTATTTTCTAAGTCCAGTCTGAAGGCAGTCCTCCTGCGCTGAACTGTATAAAATAAGAGAAAGCACCAGGCATGGTGGCACATGCTTTTAATCCCAGCACTTGAGAGACAGAGGCAGGTGGATTGCTGTGAGTTTAAGGCCAGCTTGCTCTACATGGAGAGCTCCAGGCCGCCAAGAGCTACACAGTGAGACTGTGTTTCAATAAATAAATATGAGAAAGTGGGCTGAGCACAAATGTTTACCATTCTGTTTCCTGACAGGGTGCAGTATGATCAGTTGCTTTGAACTCCTACAGCCAGGACTTTCCCATCATGGTGGACTATACCCTCAAACTGTGAGACAAACAAACCAAACTATAAATCTCTTTCTCCCTCAAGTTGCTTTTGTTAGGGTATTCTATTACAGGAAAAGCAATTAAAATGGAAAGGTGGCATTAAGAAGTGGAACTGCTGGAGCTGGAGAGATGGCTCAGCGGTTAAGAGCACCGACTGTTCTTCCAGAGGACCTGGGTTCAGTTCCTAGCACCCACACAGTTCCAGGTGATCCAATGCCTTTTTCTTCCCTCTGCAGTACCAAGCATGCACAGGTACCAGGCATACACAGACATGCGTGCAGGCAAAACATCCATATACATAGAAATAAATTAACCTTTAAAAGAAATCTTTTTAAGGTGATTTGATGGGTGCATTGCATCCATTTAATAAAATAAAAGCAATAGCTTCCACATTAGAGCCTAGGACCTCCATAGTCACAGCCCCTCACTCCCAGGCTTATAGTAGCAAGCATTCCTTTCCTTCTGTGGAGTGGGCATTCAATCTAACAGAAACTAGTTGGTTGCACTCTTATCAGCCATGCCACTCTTGTGCCAATGGGCATATCTTGACTGGCATGTGGGTAACAACGTGCAGAATCTATAAGTGATAAAAACTACCTGTGACAACTCTCTCCCAGTAGCACAGCACATAGCACCCTCTGGTACTATCAATACAAGCCAGTAGAGAGAGAGAGATTCCAACTAAGTCAGCCTGCTTTCTACATGTCCTACAACCAAAATATATGATACTTTGGGCAGTAGGCACTTATATGTTCAGTTCTGGCATGCAACCAACATAAGTGGCAATCGCCTGTATTATGTGTGAGCCCCCCCTCCACGCCACCGCCAAGAACTCATAGAAAGGAGGCCCATCTCCAACACTGGGAATTTCATCTAGTCAACTTAATAACTTCCGAGGTCTTTTTTTCTTCCAATGTAGGTAGCATTCAAACTCTTAAATTGCTATTTTAGCAATTTATCCTTCCTTCCAACTAATGCAGTCCTTTTAAGGTTGTAAGGTGGGTAGAAATGACGTTTGATTTAGTGGTCCTCCACCCAGTTCTGCAAATTTGTGTTGGTGAAATGAGTGCCCCTGTGGCTGTCCATTCTCTGGTGTGTCCACACATAACACTGAGTTGGGTGAGGGCCTTGATGGTAGCCTTACCTGCTGTTTGCTTGTATGTAATGCTTGCAAGAGGCCCGTGGCAGTGTCCATACAGGTGAGGGCGTATTTGAATCCCTCAGTGACACGCATAGGTATTCCTATGCAGCCTATTTGTTAATCCCACATAAAACAGGTATATTTATACACTTACTCCACTACAGTATTCACCCACCAATCATCTGAGAGGACTCAATGAGCTATTGGTTGTCACATGAAAAGTATCAGGAACTGATCCCTGGTGGACTCTGTTATATACCCCCTTCCACATCTGTTATCCCCACAGTGGCTAACACAGCATCTGCCAGATCTCCTTTTTCCACTGGGCAATCCATAAAGCCAGACCTCTACATATAGCCTAATCATCAGTAAAGATTATCGTGGGTCAGTTTTCATTCATGCTGCTCTAACCTCAGTCCACTGGGTATCCCCACCCCCTCTTTCTTGGCCTCATGATGTCTGTGCTGATTTGTATTGCTGAACATCACAGTCACTCTTCTACTGCTGTAAAGAAGCACCGTGACCAAGGCAATTCTTATGAAAGAAAACGTTTAACTGGGGGCTTGCTTATAGCTTCAGAGGCTTAGTCCATTATCATCATGGCGGCAGTGTGGCAGCAAGTAGGCAGGTGCTGGAGAAGTAGCTGAGAGTTACATCCTGATCTGTAGGCAGGAGAGAGAGAGAAAGAAAGAGAGAGAGAGAGAGAGAGAGAGAGAGAGAGAGAGAGAGGAAGGGAGAGAGAGACAGAGACAGAGACAGAGAGACAGAGAGAGACAGAGAGACAGAGAGAGACAGAGAGACAGAGAAAGAGACTGGGCCTGGGCCTGGGCCTGGTGTGGGCTTTTGAAACCTCAAATTCCACCCCTAATGACATATTTCTTCCAACAAGGCCACACCTTCTAATCCTTCTCAAATAGTGCCCCTTTTGATGACTAAGTAGTCAGACATATGAGCATGGGGGTGGGGCATCCATATTTAAATCAACACTTTTACCGTTACTAAAGTGGGATAATGGATGCGATTGTCTTACATACTGTTAGCAATCGCTCTTCTGGTTCTCTGCTGAGCTTCTCTCCCTCTCCATGGCGGAGACTAAAGCCCTATTAGAACCACCTGCTTAGGCTGCTTCTTCCACAGCCCCCATAACCTTCCAGGTTCCTCATGACTTCTAGTACAAAGGGATGGATGCATTGAAGCAAACAGCTTGTTAGGCTGTCCTACAGGGATCTGACTTGCTCAAAAGCCTCTTAAGATTTTCTGTCCCAATCCCACAAGGAGCCAGCCCCTTTTGATCAAGTTACACACATGGCAGACAACTTGAGCAAGGCGGGGTGCAAAACCCAACACTCCAAGATCCAACACTCCTAGATCCCTGCCCCCAAACATCTGCAGCTGTTTCGCATTCACATGCACAGGGTATTCACTAACCTTCTCAGTAGCATACGTGTCTCACTCAACCATAGAACTCCCCCGAACTCTGCAGCTGGACTCAACCCTTGCACTTTGTCCACACTGATTTCCATCCTCCTTCTCTCAGATGTGTCTGCCCTTCCTCCAGGGCTTCCTGACTCCGTAAGACACTCAGAAGTGAGCATTACATCATTTCTGTAATGAAGGCTTTTAATAGAAGATGTGCAGGATGACAAAGCAAGGTTCTAAGCCACCATCCTGTGACAAATAGCAGGACTGTGAAGGTCACCTTGGGGCAAGACTCTAAGGTGAACTGTTGCCTATGTCGGGTGAGCGGGAATTGGTCCTGGGACTCAGTGCTACGGGAATATTAAAGAAAGCATAGGTGAGGCTCAGCACAGTAGGGAAAGGTCCCACCACATATCAGTTGTTTCCTCAAAAGAACAATGTTGGACACAGTTGTCATAGATGGAGGGACGTCCTTAATTAGCTCTCAAGAATCAAGTTATTCTCACTGACTCATTTGTGGGTTGTTTGATTTTATTTTTTATTTTTCCAGCCACATCCAACTGTAGTAAGGGCGTTAGCCTGGGCAAATATTTGATATCTTTTCTAATTCTTAGAAGGTTTCTGTAACTTTGTCATATCAGCCAGGCTGACTAAACTGTTTGGTATTTACTACCCTACAGGGACTGGGCAACTCAATAAGCTCCCATTTCACCCAGCTGAACATGACTTCTTCACAGTTCACACCCTCAGTGAAACTCTAACCACGGTTTGTAGGGTGAGTCCCAGCAGTCCGTCTGTCCACCCTCACTGTAATCTTTGGCAAGGGAGGAATGTACACAGTATGCCCTCAGGAGGTAACTGCCCACCCCTGTGACAAGGTTTGTCTTTCTCACGGGCATTCTTCTATAAGTCTGTCTACTGTTGCCCATTGTTCCTGGAGCTTCTGGGGTTGCCATAAATTAGCCTCAGCCTGTTTCCTGTTCTCCCTTGCTGCTCTCTGTGTATGGTTGAAATATGATCTCTACTCATGCCACCATGCAATGCCTTTCCTGCCATTATGGTTTCTCCCTCTGGAACCATAAGCCGAAATAAACCCTTTCTTTTATGAGGTGCTTTTCATCATGGTATTTTATCACAGCAAGAGAAAACTTACTCATACAGTAGAGGACCCAGAAATCCACAACTCAATGTGGGACCTCCTATTGCCTTGTATGCGCCTCACCTGTGGGCAATCTTGGCCACCTGGAGGTTTTCTTTCATAGTAGCAAGCACCTTGGGGATCACTGGCATCTCCTCTACCTCTTCAGTGAATTGTCATCAGGCTTTAAAGTGGTGATTCTCAGCATGTGGGTCACGAGCCCTTCACAGGTATTGCCAAAGATGTTCGGAAAACACAGATATTTACATTAGGATTCATAACAGTAGCAAAATTACAGTTATGAAATAGCAACGAAAATAATTTTATGGTTGAGGGGTTCCCCACAACATGAAGACATGTCTTAATGGGTCACAGCATTAGGAAGGTTGAGAACCACTGCTTTAAAGTCCTCCAGCACCCACAAGCACAGCATCTGGGCCTCTGTCAACTTTTTCGCTAGAAACTCTGGCTCAGCACAAATCTTGCTGGAGAGGCCCCTGTGCCAGCTCCCCCTTTTCTCATTCCCCTTTGACTGCCTTAGTACCCCATCAACCTGACCAGCATGCCAATATAAGTCACTCAAATCCACCAGATCCTCCTTCCATAAGGAATGTTAATGGACTCAATAATTGAAGGGCCCAGTGTGAGGGACCACAGCTCTTCTGATTCAAGATGGCTCTGGTGATTTGAATGAGAAAGCCCCATAAGTTCATATGTTTGAATTCCTGGTCCTCAACTGATGAAACTGGGAAGGATTAGGAGGTGTGGTCTTATTGGAAGAGATGTGTCACTGAGTGGGCTTTGAAGTTTCAAAAGACTCGGGCCATTCCCAGGGTGCCCTCTTTCTTCTTCCTGCTTGTGGATCAAGATGTAAGCTATGGGATACTGCTCCAGTGCCTTGCCTGCCTACCTGCTGCCATGCTCTCCATAGTGATGCTCAAGGATTCTAACTTGTCTTGGTTGGGGTGGCTTATCACAGCAATAGAAAAGTAATTAGGACAATGACAGTGACTATGTCCAGTCTGAGGAAACAGCCACAGAACACCACATAACTGATGGAGTTTTCCACTGGCACTCCCCAGTGCTTGGTGCATGTTCCATGTCAAAATGCTCAGTGGCCCAGTACCATCCTCCATAGTGGTTTCCAGGTTTCATTTAGCCCTGGGTTCTCTCTGCTTCTCAATCTGCATCTGCCTGTGGTGGTATTGTGTTCCCCAAAATATTGTGCACCCTAATAAACTTATCTGGGGTCAGAGAACAAAGCAGTCACTAGATATAGAGGCCAGAAAATAGTGGCACACATGCCTTATTATTCCAGAGGCAGAGATCCTCCTGGATCTCTGAGAGTTTAAAGCCACACTGGAAACAGCCAGGCATGGTGACTCATGCCTTTAATCCCAGGAAGTGAGCTTTTAATCCCAGGAAGTGATGGCAGAAAGCAGAAAGGTATATAAGGCGTGAGGACCAGGAACTAGAGCCTGGTTAAGCTTTTAGGCTTTTGAGCAGCAGTTCAGCTGAGACCCATTCTAGATGAGGACTGAGAGGCTTCCAGTCTAAGGAAACAGGATCAGCTGAGGAATCAGCGAGGTGAGGTAGCTGTGGCTTGTTCTGCTTCTCTGATCTTCCAGCGTTGACCCCAGTACCTGGCTACCTCCAGGTTTGTTTTTATTAGTAAGACTTTTTAAGATTCGTGTTACATCTGCTAGTTTGTCTCTTCTGATTGGAGGTCTATTGTAAGGGATGTGTCTCTATTTGGACTAATGGAGAACCACAGAGGTCTGTTTTGGTGTGCAATAATCTAACTCTCAATTGTGACTTTGGGACAATAGCACTTTCCTTGTACACGTGAGTTAGCTATGGGACACTGACCTTCCAATTTATTTAGTCTTTCCTTGGATCTGGGACCCCACCTGAGGAACAGCAGCGCCCCTTTTTGGTGTAGGGGCTCAGCAGAGAGCCATCACATGTAGCAGCCCTGGGGGCCTCTGCTGGGAACTAATCCAATGCCCTGACTGATGTCAGTCATTCTGGTCACTGGGCTATGACAGATTTACTCTTGGGGAGCCCCATACCAGGACTGCAGCCTGGGGCTGTGGACAAAGGACAAAGCGTGCAATACATCACAGTTGTCTAGTGGGGAAGTGTTGGTAACTACCGTTTACTCCAAGTCACCATGGGATTTCTGCATGGCCAGGTGCTTATCCCCTTTGTAAAGTGTGTGTTCCTGCAGATGAGCTTTAGGTCTGGGGCTGCAGGCTCCCCAGCATGGCTTTAGGGCCCACAGATGGTTCTGCCACCATCATTAGTGGCTGTGTTTCCTGTAAGGTGTCCATCTTTCCACTCCTGCAGTCTTCTGTATTTGTTAGTTGGCACTTGTTTGTAGGGATGAGCGGGTCTCTCTCCTCCACCTTCATATCACATTTTTTCCTTTACCACAGAGGCCTGGCTCCTTCCTTACCCAAGGTTCAAAGAAGCTTGTGTCTGCTGGCTCTAGAGTTTTATTTTCCCAGGCTGGACCTGTCATACACACAAACTGAAAGGAGTGAGTACCAAAGAAGCAGGCTTAAGGATGTCCACTACACCACGGTGAGCGATATTACACATGTAGAAACAACCCTGCTCTGGGGACTTCCAGCCATTTTCCATTTGTTTGCAGAATTCTAAATGCATACAACAGAACTATAAAAAAAATGTGAAAAACATCAAGTGTTTTTCTTTGAAGGGAGTTATAGAATAATCCCAGTAGAATGTCATTTATGACATAGATAGAACAAAAGGGCTTCTTCATTTATATGTGTTGCGTGTCTGTAAATAGAGATGAGAACCAAGACTCCTGGGAAGTGGTATTGTGGATTTGGGAGGAATTACCTGGTTCAGATCCTTTGTTTCTTCAAACAGACTGCCCTTCTCTGGACACTGACGGCTGGGGACAGTATACCATTTGGACAAAGGTCTGGAAATGGGTAGGCAGGCTGTTGTTAAGGGACTCTGGTATCACCCAGGAGCAACCATAGTGTGTGTGTGTGTGTGTGTGTGTGTGTGTGTGTGTGTGTGTGTGTCCTACTGGGCACCAGGCTCATTGCCTTACCCTCTTGTTAGGGGCCAGTGTCCTGCAGTTCATGGCCCTAGTTGGGTCATCTTATACATTATCACCATGTGTTGAACAGTGCTGGGGCAGTCCCCGTGTAAGGACATTCTGTGTCCTCCTGTGACCTGAGTTCTGTGTCTTATGGCAAATGGAAGTTCCATCGACTGGCTGAAGGCTCAGTGGCTCTATTTCAGCTGGATGTAAAGGGCCACCAGTCTGTGGGATGAGGAGGCAAAGGAGGATGCTACCATGAGGCCAGTTTCAACTCCATGCTGCACAGCACAGCTGGTTTCTTCTCAGCACATTTCTCCCATGGGAGCTTATCTTCTATCTTAAAGAGGCCATGCCATTCAAGTTTGTCTCGTGTGGGTGTGTGGGTGGGGCAGAGTTCTCATCTTTATTCATATCCACACCAAAGCTCTCCTCCAATTCACTTGGATGGGATTCATGGCTCTCTCAGCCTACCCTTGGGCTGGGATCCTGACCTGGGTCCCATGAGTTTACCAGATGCTGCCACCTTGGTGTGGCCATTTGTGTGCTTTGAGAGTCCAGGAAATCTTCCCTACAGCCTTCAGAAGGACTAGGGCCTTGTGACACCTTGGTCTGAGCCTTCTGGCCTCCAGAGCTCTGATTTAGTCAATGTTATCCTCATGCCCCTGGGCTGTGTCTGCTGCATAGGCTAGGGTCCCTGATATACAGCTTCACAGGATGTTGGTCTAAGGTTCAGTGAGCCTTGCTGGAGATTTTGTGACAGAGAAAGAAACAAAGGCAGGCTTTGGCTCAGATAGCACAGTAGGGTGACCTACTCAGGCTTGTCCTGACTGAATGCTCAGGACCAAGCCTGCAGGACTCTGAGCCAGTGGGGTTCACAGGAGCAGATAGTCTGGTACTTCCAGCTGAGAGGACTCTTATCTGGTCAGCCTCTGGATGTTTCAGGCCTCACTGCTACCCTCAGTTCTCCCTATAAAGTTGGGCCTGCTCTGGCATAGGCTTGTGTGATGCTAGGTCCTTCAACAGGGGTTTAGTGGGTGTGTTAGCCTTTCTCACTGCTGTGGCCAAAATATCTGACATAAACAATGCAATTGTGTTGGCTCACAGATTTGGAGGGTTCAGCCCATGGTTATCTGCTCCCATGAGCTTGGGCAGGTCATCACAACACTGGGAATGGGAATGGGCTGGGCAATATATAGGCCTCAGGGGCACAATCTCAGTGATCTAACTCCTTCAATGAGGCCCCACCTTCTAAAGCTTCCATCGTGTCCCAAAACAGAACCACCGACTTGACCTAGTATTTAACACATGAGGATGAAGGGGACATTTTCTCTTCAAACCCTAACAACTGGGTTTAGTGGAAGACTGGCTGTAGTTGAGGTATGTCAGGAGAACAGGACATCTGTGTCCACCTCCCGAGGTGTGCAGGTCTTGCCTGGCCCCTGGCTTCTCCTTGAGAAACTCTTGCCAAGCTATAAGGTCCAAGGAATAGCTTTGATGGCCGAGGGCCTGGAAGGCAGAGGGTACTATGGGGGACACCTCTCCATGCCTTTTCCTGCTCCTTGGGGCTGCATAAGCACAGCAGGGGATGGAGTTAAGAGGCCTGGGAAGCTGGGCAAGGGAGGCATTGGATCCCTGGAGGTATGCCCCCTGCCTCTGTGACGTGCTTCAGTCAGAGCCCAAGATCATGGAGGGAAAACCCAGAATAAGATCCCACAAATGGCTACTGAAGTGGTTTCCTTAATACTCCCATGCAATGAGGGCAGGTAGGCTGCACCTGCAGGGTGGGCAACTGGTGGGTACCCCATCTCTGCGCACCCACAACCTGGCCTGGAGGACAGAAGTCTCTCCCATTTTATCTTTGGGACCTTGGTGTCCTGAGGGGTGCTGTGAGAGACAGGGCCATGACCTACTTTCTGGTTCCCTTATCTTTATCCCACCCTTCACTGCCCAGTTTCAGTGTGCAGAGTACTTGGATCCCCAGCTCCATGGCTATGGTCTGGGGACCCCCTCACAGCCTTATCCCCACTTTGGAAGCCAAGTGAGCTGTCAAGAAGGGCCCACCTGCTGCTCGCTAAGGAAGCAAGAAGCAAAGCATCTCCAGCCTCAGTTGCCACTTTGGCAGTGGGAGGCACACCAGGAACTGCACAAATTAGCCCTAAATGTAGCCAGGGCTTTGGTGTGTGCTGTGCTTCAGTGTTGTAGGCACTAGTGGTTTGGGCAGCAATAATCAGGCTGGTCTTTGGTGATCTCCTCCCAGGATGCCTTTCAGTTAGTGAAGGGTGTGCCTTCAATGCAGCCTTGGACCCTTGGCAGCCTCCACAGCCCAGATCCTTGCCTATACACTCCAAAGTGCTCTGGGTGTGGAGAGCTGGATGGGCCTGTCCTGCAACCCACAGAACTCCCAGCTGTCTTTGGGCGGCCTCTGGCTGGAGGCCTCTGTAAAGTGGGTGATCCTAACTTCAAGGCTCATCGTCTTTCTCCCGGTGCCTCGGGGGACTTGAGATCAGGACAGAGCAAGGGGAAATCTTCCTGTAACTGCACAATAGTCCATGTACTGCTATCTGATGGGATCACTGAATCAAAAGGCAGAGTGATGGGGAAAGAATGTGCTTCATTAACAACAAGCCAACATGTGGGAAGACTGCGGCTTCTGTGTTGGTTAAAAGGACTGGCGTCTGGTCTTTGTTGTGGCTGAACTTCTGGCCAGGACCCTTCCAGGTGTGACTCTTGACCATGCCGTAAGCAGGAGGTTCTTAGGAAGGGAGGGTTTGTATGTTCCTGTTCCTTCAGCGCATTGTTAATCAATAAAAGATGGCCTTCAGGGGCTGAGGAGAGCTCAGTCAGTAAAGTTCGTGCTTTTCAAGCTTGAGTTCAATTGCAGAACTCACGTATTGTGTTTTGAATGACATGTCCCCTATAGTCTATGGCATTTGAATGCCTGGTCTCCAGTTTGTGGTACTGTTTTGGGAGGTTTAAGAGGAGCAGCATTGCTGGAGGAAGTGTGTCATTGAGGAGTTGGCTTTGAGAGTAAAAAGCCTTCTCCATTTCCAGTTTTCTCTCTCTCTCTCTCTCTCTCTCTCTCTCTCTCTCTCTCTCTCTCTCTCTCTTTCTCTCCCTCCCTCCCTCCCTCCCCCTCCTCTCCCTCTCTGTCTCTCTGCTTTGTGCTTATGGCTCAAGATGTAAAGTTTCAGCCATGCCTGCCTACTGCCTCTGCCCTGCCGTGATGGACTCTAACCCTCTGGAACTGTAAGCCAAAACAAACTCTTCTACATATTGCCTTGGCCATGGTATTTCATTACAGGTACAGGAAAGTAACTAAGACATCATATAAGAAAAAGGGGAAAAAAAGAAAAGAAAAGAAAGAAATAAAAAGGTAGTCTTGGTGTCATGCATTTGTAATTCCAGGGCTGGGGAAGCAGAGATGAGCAGATCCTTGGGGCGTGCTGGCCAGCCAGCCTAGCCTAGCTGGTTAGCTACAGTCCAGTGAGAGATCCTGTATCAGAAAAAAGTGGACAGTGCCTGTAATAACAGACCAAGTTGTCAGTTGTCCTCTAGCCTCCCCATGCTATGTGCCCACACTCTCCCTCCCTCTCTCCCCGTCTGTCTCTCTCTCCCTCACTCACCCACTCTTGCTTGCTCTCCTATGTGCACACACACAAATAGACAAACTTCAGTGGGCAGCTAGTCCCACTGAAGCGGAGCAGGTAGGAATGAGGAGAAACTTCTGAGTACCAGATAGAAGAGAACTCATGTACACTCACTCCAGGCCATCTCTGTGGACACAGGCCAATGGGAGCAGGAAGGCCCCAAAATGTAGGGGCCCAGACGAGCACCTTGCAGCTCCTTGAAGCTTCATGAATCTACAGTAAGTCAGGACTTCTGTGTGACACTTGTTCAGCCTCCTGGAGCCCTCAGCCACTAGGGGGAGCAAGTAAGTCATGTCGGGGCCAGACCCACTGAAGGAGGGCGTTCTGAAGACGGTGGGAGCCAATACTCCAGGCTGAGACAGAAGGGGCGGGCTCCAGGCGGATTGAAGGTCTGAGATAAGAGATGACAGGAAGGGAAGCCTGGGGCTGCCTGATGTCAGAGGTGATTCTTTAAAAGGTTGAGTTGAATCTTGGGGCTATGTCTTCAGGAGGAGGGTTGTTTTAGGGGTGGCTAGAGGTGGACCTTCCATTAGAGGTAAGACATGAGGAGATATTGAATGCAGCTCAAGGGGTCAAGTGGAGAAAGATGATGAGAACAGAAGCACTGGGGAGGGCTGGCCATCAATCTGAGGAGCATCAAGGAGGACCCTGTACCATCTCCTAGTGTACCCACATCTTCATCCCTCAGTGCCTCAGACAATGGTACAACTGGATAGGAACAGAGGTACTCACCCCCCAAGGGAGTGAATACATGGTAGTGAGGGGCTGGGAGCATTGCCAGCCCCTCACCAGGCTGCTGGCAACCACTTGCCCTATGAGTCCTAATGCTTCTACTCTGGCCGTCTGTCTGTTCTGTGCAAGTAGGATGGGATAGACCTTATCTTTGGGTGACAAGAGATGGTGATGGCAGTCTCAGGCTAAGGCCTTTCCAGCTAAGAACCTAAGCAGCCACTCTGACTAGCGTTAGGTTAAGCCCTAGATTTGGGAAGATATCATGAGCAGAGACGCTGACAGCCACAAAGGTTGCCGCTGATTAATTCTTACCCAGCAAAATGCCACAGGCTGTCAGACACACAGCTCCTCTGTCTGCGGTGGTAAATAGCTTATTGATCACTAGCAGGAGCTCACCGAAATCTAAAGAGCATCCTCGAAGGGCCAGACTATAGGGATAGCAGGCAGCCAGGGTGAGTGCAATGGTGTCACAGCTTGGACTCATAGACTTGGGCGCTCCACCTGGTCTGTGCCCATTCTGGGACCTGGGAATCCAGGACATGGTCTAGCTGGAGGAGATATAGCATGGGAAATGGGATGCTTTGAACCCAGGTGCCTGGATCTGTGATGGATGCTGCATGTTAGCAAGCAAGGGGCTCCTCTCAGAGCCTGGCTCTCCACTGCTCCTGGAAGAGAGATTTCCCTTTCCCATTTTTAAGGGGGACAAAGGCCAGCACCATCTGCATGAGAAAGGCTGACAGATGTTGGCATGGCCAGCGGCTGAGCCTATTCAGGTTAAGTGTCAAAGCAAAGGATATAAAAGATCAAGAAACACTGACAGGCACCTACCCCTATTGGGTGGGTCAGGCCTCCTGCCTCCAGGGTGAACAATCTGGAGACAAACAAGCATGCACACAACACATTCCCATATAGCAACATGAACACGTGTGGGGGACATATTTGCATATACCAGCACACACAGGCACACAATGTATTCTCACACTCATCCTACACATACTTATTCACACTTGTTCACACATATGTGCATGTATATATATGTATGTGTGTGTGTGTGTGTGTGTGTGTGTGTGTGTGTGCAACCCATACACATGTATGTGCCCAAAATAAACTCACGTGGAGCTGATGGAAAGATTCTCTATCATGCAAGACAGAGGCTATAACAACAATATTAGAAATATTTTCTAGCAAAGAAATGTTTTTTAAATGCCTGCTTTGTACTTTCATTTAAAAACCAAGAAAACATGGACGCAAGAGCACAAAGGATAAATAAGATGTCTTCATAAAGTAAGTTTTTTTTTTAAAGCAGAGAAGCTGTCTACAAGTCATGTAAACATGAAGAGCATGACAGGAAAGATTAGAGAGACCCGAGGAATCTGGAGGAAGGCACATCTGTATGGACGTGGGCTTGAGAAGTCTATTCCCATTCTCCAATGCTGGCAGCTGAGAAGTGACACCAGAGAAAAGACATCAGAGAAAGGACGGACACATCTTGAAATTTAAAATACTTATAGTGGGTCTTGAAACAAATAAAGCATAGAATGGCTTAAATAATTGGTTACTGAAAATAATTCACTATAAAAAAGCAGTTCTTACAAACAAATGGAGTCACGTCCAACACTTGCACCTCTCAAAGGAAAACTCGTCGTGAGTGGTGGTGCACACCTGTAATCCAGGCATTCAGAAGGCTGATCCAGGAGGACTGGGTTTGTGGTGATCCTCCTTCTAGTGTCTCTTTTCTTTTTTAAAGGACTTTGTGTTGTTTTTTGTTTGTTTGTTTTTTGAGACAGGGTTTCTCTGTGTAACAGCCCTGACTGTCCTGAAACTTGCTCTGGAGACCAGGCTGGAGAAAAAGAAAATAAAAAATGATGTTACAAGGGGAAAATGTTCACATACATAAACTCTGCAAACTTGCTCTGGAGATCAGGTGCTGGGATGAGCCACCATCACCCGACTGTCTCTTTTCTCTTAACAATTAGTCATAATTATTCCTTCATAATTGCCTCTACCATGTCTGGTGATTATTGATTGTGTTTTACATTGTGTATGGAGGAAATAGTGAGGACCAGGTGGCATTATCTTTCACTTGGGAGGGTCTCTTGCTCTCATGAGAAGGTGGGGTCAGGGCCTATCACATGACAGCAGTCAAGACAGAGCCTTGTGGAGGCAGATGACCATGTCTGCAGCTTGTCTGTCTGCTCAATGCATGGCCTTCTGAGAGGGAGTAAGGGCTGTGCAAGGTCCGTCTCCACCACAGTACTCTCCAACTCCCTCTCTTATTTTGTTATTCGTAATGCTCTTGGCAGAGGGAGAGATTTGTGGCACCCAAGGAGCTTCCTCCCTGACAGACAGGGCATTGGAGATGTCACTCTGCCCTGGGATCTCTTACCAGCCCCCAACCTCCCTGGTAGTAAGGCCTGCAAAAGGCGCTTGGCAAGCAAGCTTGGTGGCCTGGGTTCTAGTTCCCACATAAAGGGGAAGAGAAAACCATCTCCAAAGAGTTATTCTCTGACCCCAACAAGCCTGCTAGGGCACATGTGTGCACACACTCACACATGTACACAGATTTACACACAACAATAAAATAATTAAATATGTGGGGTGTGGTGGCGCACACCTTTAATCCCAGCACTTGGGAGACAGAAGCAGGATGATGTCTGTGAGTTCAAGACCAGGAAAGCCAGGGCTGTGCTGCAGCCTTGGGCTCCCAGGCTAGCTATTCAGCTGGAGCAAGCACTGGAAGTTCTAGTGGTTTCTCTTTCTAGAAGAGGATCCTTGTCAGGCCAAACCAGTGCTCAGCCAGTACTGGAGGGTGGGTTATGGGTAAGTGGGTGGCTGGGTGGTAGTGGAGATGATGGTGTGGTAACATCAGTAACATCTGGGACAGGCAATTTGTCTGCAAGGGGTCTGCCTGTCCACAACCTTTATTGCTTGCATAGCTCCCAGGTACCTTGGGTATCATTTTGCACCTTATCTCTTTCTGGAAGCAGCGGCCTATCATGTCCACTGTGCCTTGTTTTGAGTGGAACTTCTGTGTGCTTCTTTGCCTGGTTTGGTCAAGTGTTGATCCTCTGGCTCCTTCCCTGAGAGCAAACTTGTTTCTCCTTGCCTCTATCTGTCCTGCTTGGTGCTACTGGGTCTGTCTTTCATGTTGTTTGCTTAGTTCAGCAAGATAAAGAATTCTGACTTAATTGATTTTTTTCACTTCAGAATTATAAAGATTTTACAACTCCTAAGTTTTAAATCCATTTAAATTATAGTTTAGCAGGGTGCTGGGTGAAATCCCAGTCCTACCCTGTGGTGGCCAACGAGCCCTTGTGTGGGCTGCATGCAGAGTTGGTTTGGTAACAGAGGGAACTGGGAAAGGAGGGGGGCAGGCAGCCTTCTGACCTCCTGTGTCCCCTCCAGGCCACTTTGGATGTGCTGGCTGTTCAGTATGGACTTCAGCCCACATAGGAGTCCCCTGAACAGTTCACACTGTTCTATACTCCCAGAGCTCTCCTGGCTTCCTGAGCCTAGGCCCCAGGGCTACTCCTCATTCTCCTCCAGCCTGGGGATCAGCTCTGTCCTCCTGCCTTCTATAGGCTCAGCCTTTATTATCTGCAATGCAAAGTGCCTTCCACCAGAACTCTGCTGCACAAGTTATGTGCAGGGGCTATCTCTGGGATGATTTAGATAACTATGGGATAGCTCATTATTTAGAGAAAACGAAGTTATGTCTTTTCCAAGTATTCGTATAAATCAATACCAGCTGGATTAAAGAAAAAGAAAAGAAAAAATGATGTTACAAGGGGAAAATGTTCACATACATAAACTCTGCAAGCACTCTACCACTGAGCTACATCCCCAAACCTTGCTTTTTGAGGCACAGTCTCATTATGTAGCCCATGTTGGCCTTGAACTCACAATCTTCCCGATTCAGACTCCCAAGTGCTGGGATTATCCCACTACACTCAGCCTGATACAAACTTCTAAGCATAAGCCTAAAGAAGAATCATCAGAGAAAAGTATGGATAAATTTAAGTGGTTGTGATTTTCACACAGAGAGACGTTCAAAAATTCTTTCAATAGATTAACAGCCAAGAGACAAAGAGGAGGGAATATTTGCAACAGATGCAAAACTCTGACACCAATAAGAAGACAAATGTCCCAGAGGAATGGAGAAAGAGCAGGAAGAAGCAACAGAAATAAATGAAATGTCACTCTCTGGTCACAGAGCCACTAAGGTGAAACCAGATATAGCTGGTCACAGTTGCTCCCCTCCCTAGTCTCAAGCCCTCCTGAGCGATTCACTGGCCCTGCCGGATGCCCGCTTTACTGAGGCCTCTTGGACCCTCCTGTTTAGACTGTGCCTAGACTTTCCCAAAGGCTTATTCACATAGTTTTCTAACCAACAACCAATTTCCCTCAGTGACAAACTCGCTCCAGAGCGCAGGGACCTGAAGAAAGTCAGATCACAGATAGATGATGTTTGCAGTCAGGCTGCCTGGCGAGACTTACACCCTACATACCCTTTGCTCATCGTGACTGAGCCTTTCAGCCTTGCAAGGATCCCCTGTCCACTACTGTGGCCTCACTCACAGCTCTCTGCCCTAGCAGTTAGTTAATAGCTCTTTCTGCCTTGGGGCTTTAGTGCTAGCTCGGCTTTCTGCTTCAGCAGTCACCTCAAGTTGCCCGCTTACCAACTCTCTGCGCAATCTCACTTCATTCCAATGTTCTCCTCGATGGCCAGGCGGGAAACAGCTTGCCTGGACACCGGCCTGACTTTCTCTGAAAGCCTGAACTATCACAGAGGGAGGCTGTGCTGGTGGCTGGTCTTGCCTGTTACAGTTTTGCCAGCTTCCTTCCTGGGGCAGGAGTATCAGGGTGGTTTGGGGGGACTCTGCCTTTTCTATCACCACCATAGCATGAGGCAAGCATGAGCTAGCCAGAAGGAGGCCTGAATAGCAAATATACTCAAGGTTACAAGGTCAAAGGCAGGCCAGAAGGTCATAGCTATTATATTGCTATAGCTCTTGACAGCTCTTAATTTTTTGGAGTGTTTTTATGTTTTCTTCTATTTTACACATTTTTTTATAATATCAATAAGTCCGTTTATCATTAAGTAAGTCAGGAAACATTATTTTATGGGAAAACTTTGAAGTGTGTGCTCATCTGAGCAAATGTCTAGCAAACAAAGAGGTCAGAGATCAGCCTGATGTGGGCAGGCTGAGGGAACCCTCTAGACCCCTGGGCCTGCTAGTCCAGGTTTGATGTAAGAGCTGACCTGGCCTCGCATGGCTAATAGGGCCTAGATTGACAACTTCTGGCCAAAGGGCCATAAACAACAATGTCAGTGGCCCAGGACTATAATCAGATGTTTCCTGTCCCAACTGCCTATTCCCAAATAAACACACAGAGCTTATACAAATTGTAAAGGCTCAGCCAATAGCTCAGGCTTGTTACTAACTAGCTCTTACTTTATAAGTTAACTCATATTCCTTATTTATGCTCTGCCACGTGGTGGTACCTTTTTAGCATGGCACAGTTCATCTCCTGCTCCTTCTGCATCTGGCTGGCAACTCCTGACTCTGTCCCTCTCCTTCCCATCATCCTTAGTTTGGTTGTCCCACCTGTACTTCCTGCCTGGCTACTGGTCAATCAGCGTTTTATTAAACCAATTTGAGTGACAAATCTTTACAGTGTACAAGAGGATTATTCCACAGCACAGGACATGTGCCAAATCTGCAGAACTTTCTGAGATACTTGTAGTTCGGAGATAGCCCCACCTGCCTAACCACACTACCAACCCTATCTGTGAGGCAGGAAGAATCTCAGAGGATGAGCGGCTGGTATGAGGTCAGCAGGCTCAGAGAGGCCTCCTCTACCCAATGCTGCCAAAGCCATTGCCTCTTCCAGCCAAGGAAGTACCTGCAGCCCTAGGTGCCCTCCAGAGCTCCCTTCCCCTCATCTATCTCCTTCCCCCTCTTCCTTTCCTCGTTTTGTTTTAGGCACACAAAGGGATAGGTTGCACAAAGGATCATAGCCACACTTGTATGTGGGATAAAATGTGAACACTAGTCCCTTCAAGACAGACTTAAAAGACCCATTTCTCCCTGGGTGTTCTGGAGCAAGAGTTAAACATCATTATGGCAGTATTGAATAATGTTAAATCACTGTTACTGTTAATGTATGGTCTTTGTGGTAAGCACCTCTGCTGATGTTTATCTTTTCCTTAAATAAGCTTTAGAAGTCAAGGGATGGGGGTCTAACTAGTTCTTGGTGTCCTTGCTGACTTGAGCAAAGAGCTATCAGCCAAGCGGCCAGCTAGACTGCCCACATGCTGGCACCAGATGCTTTGACCCCCCCACAGATGCAAGGAGGAATCTGCTCAGTAACTGCAGCTGCTTGCTGCCAAAGCATAATGCCAATGCCTGAAGGCGCAGCTCCAGCTGTTTCCAGCACTTTGCACTGGACTTTTTGGCCACCACAAGCCTCAACAAACTCTAGATGATTCTTTAGCCTCTTCCACCCAGACCAAAGAGGGAGCACCAAGTTGGTTAATTTTGTGTCAACTTGACACAAGCTAGATTCTTTTGGGAAGAGGAACTCCCAATTGATAAAATACCTCTATAAAGTTTGCCTGTAGGCTAGTCTTTGGTGTGTTTTCTTCATTAATCACTGACATGTGTATGCCACCCCTAGGAAGATAGTCCTGGATGGTATTTAAAAAAAAAAAAAAGCAGGCTGATCAAGCCAGTAAGCATCATTCCTCCATAGCCTCTACATCAGTTCCTGCCTTGAATTCCTGCCCTGACTTCCTTTGATGATGGACTATGATCTGGAAGTGTAAGAAAAATAAACCCTTCTTTCCTGTGACAGTTTAAATAAAAATGACCCCCATAGGCTCATAGGGAGTGGCACTATTTGAAAGGATTAGAACCTGTGGCCTTGTTGGAGTACATGTGGCTTTATTAGAGGAAGTATATCACTGGGAGTGTGCTTTCAGATTTCAGAAGCTCAAACCAGGCTCAATGGCTCACTCTCTCTTCCTGCGGCCTGCTGATCTGGTTGTAGCACCATGTCTGCCTGTGTGCTGCCATGCTTCCTGCCCTGACAATAAGGGACTAAACCTTTGAATGTAAGCAAGCCCAATTAAATGCTTTCCTTTATAACAGTTGCCATGGTCATGGTGTCACTTCACAGCAGTAGAACCCCTAAGGCAAAAATTGGTACCAGGAGTTGGATTTTGATGTGTCAGACCTGACCATGTGTTTTGGGGAGGATTGTGGTGACATCTGAACATCAGACTGTACAAACCATTGAGTTCTCAGAGACCAGTGGGCTGTTCTGTGGGAGCTTGGAAGATAAGCGTATTGAGAGCAATGTGGATAGTAGAGGTCTGGTGTGTGACATTCAGAGGGAAATAAAGACTTTACTGGGGCCATGTGAGTGACATTTCAAGTTGATAATCTGTGGGTCTGCTCAACTGGGACTGTGATTAACAAGAGACCAGAGTCACTAAGGTGAAATATTTGCTTTGATGGAATAATTGATGCTGGTTAGCTGGAGCTAAGAAGTTAGTGGTGATTAAGAATACAGTGGCAGTCAGGAGTGGTGGCACATGTCTTTAATCCCAACACTCAGGAGGCAGGGCAGCCAGATCTCTGTGAGTTTGAGACCAGCCTGGTCTACAAAGAGAGTTCCAGGAGAGCCAGGGCTGTTACACAGAGGAACCCTGTCTCAAAAAAGGAGGAGGAGGAGGAGGAGGAGGAGGAGGAGGAGGAGAACAAGAAAAAGAACAAGAAGACAATGATGATGATGACAGTAGTATCATTGAGAATCTTTTAGAGTATTTCCTCAGGATTGGCACAAAGAAACTGTGGTCCCGAGGGGCCTGAGACTGTACTGTATGCTAGCAGCTGAACTTGGTAATATGTAAGAGCTTCTCAGGTAGAATTTTTGAAGGTATAAAGGGATTGTGGAGAGAAGTTGAGGCTTGACATAATGAGAGGTCAGGAGAGGCCATTGGTAAAGGTGCAGCATCAGTTACAATAGAGGCCCCAGGATTGAAAGGGTCATAGATAGAAGATGAAGCTTTGAATCATGTTGGGTACAGAGGACATTTGCAGAACCAGGATTCCTAAAGAGAACCCAGGAGATTCTACTGGTGAAGGTGCAGCCCAGTTGCAATGGAGACTCCAGCATTTCAGAGAAGCCAATACCATGGGATAACCACCAAAGACAGTAGCAGCTGTGAAGTAGAACCAGCTTGAACCTGTGAAACAAATTATGTATGCTGAAGATGTCAGAGTCAAAGAGGTAGAACTGACCAGTTTATCTGGAACTCAGATTTATTTTTGCCTTGTTTTATTTTTAAGACAGTGTCTCACTATGTAGCCTTGGCTGTTGATCAGTCTGGCCTCAAACCTGCCTCAGCCTCCAGGGTACTAGAATTTAAGGCATGCACCACAACACCCAGCAAGTATTTGAATTTTTAAAGACCAGGATTTTCAGAAGTCATAATGTTTTATATTGTGGTATTAATATTAACATGACATCTTGGGGACAAATGAAAAAGGAAAGGTTATGGTTTAATAGTGATGTGTTTGCATGTCAAGATGACTAGAAGTCAATTGTGTTGGTTAGTTTTATGTCAACTGGACAGAATCTAGATTCATTTGGAAAGAGGGACTCTTAATTGAGAAAATACTGCCATAAAATTTGCCTGTAGGCAAGTCTCTAGTGCATTTTCTTGATTAATCATTGATGTGTATGGGTCCAGCTTACTGCGGCAGTGCTACCCTTGGGCAAGTGGTCCTAGATGGTGTAAGAAAGCAACTGAGCAAGCCATGAAGTACAAGCCAGTAAGTATAGTTCCTTCATGGCCTCTGCTTTAGTCCCTGCCTCCAGGTTCCTGCCTTGAGTTCCTGCCCCAACTTCATTTAATGATTGACTGTGATGTAGATGTGCAAGCAAAATAAACCCTTCCCTCCCTGAGTTGCTTTTGGTCATTGTGTTTCATCACAGCAATAGAAACCCTAAGACAAGTACTTGCACTGATGACCCAGCAGAGGCTTGTGACTAATGTAAGCACAGTTCTTCATTGCCATAATGGACTGACAGCTATGATTGATTTAAGAGCAATTTCTCATTCTGCATGAGAAATTGTGCCCTTCATTTGCATAAGAGACTGATGAGATTGATGTAGGCATGGTTTCTTATTTGAATGAGGGACTATGGCATGATTGGTGTAAATGCAGCTCTTTATTTGCATGGGGGACTACGGTAATTGGTATAAGTGCAGTTTCTTATTTGCATGAGGGACTGTGCCATGACTGGTATAATCATTATCCTTTGCTTGCGTTTGCTGTAATTGGAGTAGACACCCTTGACACACCCCTTTTCTGGTTATATAAGCAAGCTGTTTGGCTCACTTTGTGAGCCAGCTTAAGGACACCCTCTTGTGCTGCACCCTGATGTTGTAATAATAAGTCCTCCCGCCCCTCCCCCCAAAACAAAACTGCTCTCCACTTGTCTTTTCTTACCTACTTTTGATTTCCGCTGGTACCATGAAGAAAGGAAGGTGTCAGCAGAGGTGAAGGCAGCAGTCGCCACTGCTCCAGGGGTGCCAATGGTGGCAGTGGCAACAAACGGGCATCTGAAGAATTCCAGAGAGCAGCCGTGGCAGAAGTGATGGAGGCAACAAAGGCTGTGAAAAGATGAGAAACTGTGGGCCCTGGTCACAGCGGGCTCCAGGATCTCTGTGACAGGACTTTATCTGGGTCACCAATAGACCAAAGAAGAGTGTGTCCAAGTCCCACTTGGTGAACTAATAATTGTATTAGGGTAACTTACAGGAGCACGGGCAACTCACAAGCAGCTGTATCACTGAGAAATGCTGTGGCTATTAGCAGGCAACTAGTCAGTGTAGGTAGAGTTTTCCTGCCTGGCCCACAGTCAGGACAAATCTCTATCACCTGCCAGTCCCACAGCCATCAGACCCAACCAAGTAAACAGAGACTTATATTGGTTACAAACTGTATGGCCTTGGCAGGCTTCTTGCTAACTGTTCTTACAGCTTAAATTAATCCATTTCCATTAATCTATACCTTGCCACATGACTCGTGGCTTACCGGCACCTTCACATGCTGTTTCTCATCATGGCGGCTGGCAGTGTCTCTCTGACTCAGCCTTCCACTTCCCAGCTTTATTCTCCTCCTTGTCCCGCCTACACTTCCTGCCTAGCCAATGGCCAATCAGTGTTTTATTTAATGACTAATCAGCAACACATTTGCCATACAGAACATCCCACAGCAAGTCAGCTGCACCCCTAGAAATGCCCCTAATCAATTATTTTCCTTTTATTTCACGGCAGTCAGGATGGAGGAGCCTCCGCAGTGGAGATGATGTGATTCTTAGGAGCTTTGTGAGTATGGTGAGGCTTGTAAGTCTCTTCACCCTCTACCCCTTCCACGAGGAGAGCTAACCCTCTCCTGAGGGTTTCCTGTGGATTATCACAGTTGCTCATCTCCAAGACAGAGATAAAGGAAACAGCTTCACTACAGTCTCCACACTCTAGGCCCTAAGAGCTGTAACAGTTCCTTAATACCCCAGGCCTGAGAGGAGCAACACTGGCTTCTGTCAAGGGCTGAGGAGTCCAACTCTTTCTGCCTGAAAGCCATAACACTTACCACTGAAGGACACAGGATCCCAGCTCCTGACGTGTGTATGAAGGCTGTAACACTTACCACTGAAGGACACAGGATCCCAGCACCTGACATTTGTATGAAGGCCGTAACACTTACCACTGAAGAGCATGGGATCCCAGCTCCTGACGTGTGTATGAAGGCTGTAACACTTACCACTAAAGGACACAGGATCCCAGCACCTGACATTTATATGAAGGCTGTAACACTTACCACTGAAGAGCACAGGATCCCAGCTCCTGACATTTGTATGAAGGCTGTAACACTTACCACTGAAGAGCATGGGATCCCAGCTCCTGACGTGTGTATGAAGGCTGTAGCACAGGATCCCAGCTCCTGACATTTGTATGAAGGCTGTAACACTTACCACTGAAGAGCACGGGATCCCAGCTCCTGACATTTGTATGAAGGTTGTAACACAGGATCCCAGCACCTGACGTGTGTATGAAGGCTGTAACACAGGATCCCAGCACCTGACGTGTGTATGAAAGCTGTAATCCAGCTGCTGCTTCCTGTTGTCAGCTACTGCTGCCCACTACTGCTGGAAACCAAGGAATGTCACCACTGCCAAGTGATGGAGCCACTGGTAGTTAGAGGCCGAAGCAATAAGCCTCTGGCCTGAGTGCCTTGAGTCATGAGCCTGTGGCTTGCTGAAGCCTAGAGTGATAGGCCTGTAGCTCTCAGGGCTTAGAGCTTGAATGCTCTGGGTCTGCCAGTTCACCCGCAAACTCTTGGGCACACAAGAGGCCAGGCTTCTTAGAAAGAGATTCTCCTCACCTACCCACAATTCCTATCCAGGTAGAGCAAAAGGATGCCAGCCATCTGGTTAGTAACACCGTTGCTAAACTACCCAGCTGTCTGCATCATCCATACCAAGCCCTGCACCCCAGGGTTATCTTGTGTCTCAACCCCTCCTCTCGGCCTCTGCACCCCACTGAAACCTAGGTACCTCCTTCAGGAGTCACCCTCCTTGCTTTGGAAGTTCTCTCAGCATATTGTCTCTCTATGTTGTCAGATAGGTTCTTCTGAATGAATCCAGGAAATGGAAGAGGGCTTTGTTCCCAGGGTCCCCACACCCTATGCATTAATTCATGGCCAGCCCGGGAGGGTATGGCCAGACTTGAGGGTATGCAGGCTGCTTCAGGTCACCTTCCTGGGGAGAGGCCAGTGGGTCCTGTTCTTCCCTTGCTTCCAGCCAGGAAACTCTTGGGCCTGGAAGCCACAGGCAATCTGGACCGCTGCTGTCCAGCCTTGGCGGGCAAGTGTCCTCCTGGGCCACTGGGAGCACAGTAATGAGATGTTGTGTAATTGCATTGCTCTCCTCTGCGGGCAGCGCTCTCAGCCCTTCCATTTAATTGTGAGTGTATTTCCAGAAGTGTATCTGGGGCATGATGGCCTGCGGGGAGGGCTGGGCTGGGCTGTGGGAGGGGCTGGCCCCCAGGGTCTTTCTCCACTTTCAGCGGTTTATCTAAACCCTCAGGTAGCAGACGTGGGACGTGCAGAGATCAGCTTTGGGAGGACACTCAGTGTGAGATGAGCAGCCAGCCCAGCGCTGAGCCTCTGCCAGGGCTACCCCTTTCTTACCTCTAGCCTAAGCTAGAGGGACAGCAGGCCAGCAGCCATACTTTTCTGCCCAAGCCCGGTTCTGAGACAGATAGTTGAGGGCTGGGTCTATCAGGTTGTCCCCTGGGGTCCTTCAGACTGCAGCCTTGCTTTGTCTCCACTTGAAAGAAGCTCTAAGCTCAGTGGTTGACACATGCCTCTGACAGCCTGGGGGTGGCCTTGGGTGCCTTGAAGGTAGCTGGATAGAAAAGCAGTCTTTCTGCCTAGCATACCAATGTCCGACAGCAGCTGGATCTCACAGGGAAATTGCTCTCTGGCTTCAGTGTACACTGGAAGATCTGATCTGATGAGACCAAGAATTGCACAAAGCCCTGGTCATGCCTGTCTGGGTGTGCTCAGAGAACCAGGGAGCTTGTCCAGCTGCATGGGACACACAGTGGAGCCAGGGCAGGACTGGCCAGTGTCAGGATGGGATTCACGGCCTTTATTCCAAGGCCATGGCTCTATTGTGGAGTCAAGTGTGTTCTCTCCCTGTGCACACATTCTCTTCCGGTGGGGAAAAGAGCCTTCCGTCTAGTGAGTACTCCCCTGACAAAGACCACCAGCTGGCACAAGGTAGTGACTAGCCTAAGCCGTGCCTTTGGGATGGGACTCTCCCACCCTTGGTCTTGGGTCCTGCAGTCAGTCTTTCTAGGGATAGATACCTCTATTGTCTGTGGTCAGCCCCTGACCTGGAAGGAGTCAGACTAGAGAGATGTGACTAGATAGGGCTAATTCTAGTGCCAGGCCTGAGCCTCTGGGTGGCATTTCTAAGACAGCTATTGAAGGGGCCCAGGTTCCCACCCTGGTGATGGGCACAGTGGCCTCAGCCAGTTAGGAGTCAGTTGGAGGGTCCCTTAGAAGTTGCTTTGGCCAGGAGGTACTGTTTTAGTACAGATTCGGTATTTGTTATTGCAGAAAAGTCACCCAAGTTGACACTGTGGGAGAGATCAGAACTTTGACCTTTATTCTCGTATTTTATGTCTTAGCACTGTTTTTATTTTTATTTCTAATTGCATGTGGGAGGAGGGGGCCTCCAATCCTCCGGTGAGAGGCCTCAGAGGTCTTAGATCCTTGTGTGGAGTCAAGAGAGACTTTGAGGCCAGGCAAGGAATGGTGAGCAGAGAACTGGGTAGAGAACTGGTGATTGGGGTGCGGCATGAGCATCATGTCTACAACCTCAGTAGGGGGCCTGGCTGAGGCCCCGGCAGCCTGATGAGTGAGCAGGAGTGATGTTGGCTGAAGGAGAGGAAAGCTTGAATCTAGCTTCGGTCACTGTGATGCACCCGGACTCACCCACTGTGGTCCTCCTGAGAACCTGCTACCTGACCTACCCTTTCCTGGACTGGGTCTCCTGGGGTAGGGGATTGGTAGGCATGATCCCATGACCCTAAGTCTTAGGTCACCTCTCTAAAGATGCCTGCACAGTCAGGCCTAACCCCTGCCTGGGTGCAGCCTCACATGCTTCCTGCATGGTCCTTGTGCCTTGGCTTCTCCAGTGAGGATGAAATGAGGATAGTGCTCCTGACCTCATACAGGCTTTTTCAGGGTCACAGAAAAGGATTCCCAGAAGGGACTGACCCTCACACCTGCACACTGGGAGGCTTCAGCAGGGGCAGTCCTGGTTTATCTGCAACTCTGCCTGGTACACCTTTCTGAGGCCGTGGATGGCAGAGACACCCTGAGTTAGCCAGACCTCTCTGATGTCACTGACACAGCCCATTTGATCTCCTGCCTCCTCCTCCTCCTCCTCCTCCTCCTCCTCCTCCTCTTCCTCCTCCTCCTCTTCTTCCTCCTCCTCCGGATAGCAGCATCCTATAACTAGGGCCTATGATCTTCAGGGTCTCCTACAGAGAGTCCCACTAGGCCTTTCTCCTACTCTGAGCACACAAACAAGGATGCTGAGAGCTGGGGACAGGGAGGGATCTGCGGGGCTGCTTGTTCTTGGCTGGCAGTGCAGCTGATAGAGGCCGTGATGTTCCTGCTGCCACTGAGCAGAGCTTAGAGGCCATGCAGGGGCTGTGAGTCTAGGGGTGGACAGTGCTGGCATGAGTCCAGAGACTTCAAAGGCACAGGGCTTTCGTTGGCAATGAGCCTCCCAAGAGAGTGTCCTGGACATGAGGCCATTAATGAGCCTTGCAGATGGAGAGTGAAGGGGTGATGTAAGAATGGGAGGGGTGCTTACCGCATGGTGGTCTGGGGACAGTGCCTGGAACAAAGGGCAGGGCAGGATGCTGCCATTAGGCGGTTTCATTTGTTGTCTGCCGTGGCACCTGGGCACCTGCAGGGTCTTTCCAGTTCCGTCTGTCTGTCTGCTTGTTTGCTTGCTTGTTTGTTTTGAAACAGTCTCTTATTATAGACTAGACTGGTGCTAAACTCCCAGAGATCCACCTGCCTCTGC